GGTGGCAACCGGGCCGAAGCCGGGTCCCGGGTGCTCAGCGGCGGCGGCTCCATATCCATCAGCAGCTTCACCTGAAGAGGGACGGCCCCCCCGGTAAACACCCCCCCATCCCAGCCGTCTCCCCTCCCCTGAACAACTTCCGGTCCCACTACCAGGCGACAGGCGACGTGGCCGAACACCGAGCGCCCCCAAGCCAGGGAAACTGCTGGGGAAAGAAGGGAGAAGAGCTAGGGGAGAGTAGCTGAGCGCAGAAAGACTGAAGTCCGAAAGGCTCGGTCTCGTGCCGAGAGCCGAAGATTGCCCCTTCACCTGCATCTAATTTGCAAACTGGACGCACATTGGACACCTCATGTGTCCTGGCACATCTCCCCCCAGGGCCAAATTTTGTCCCTGAACCTCCTAAGACAACATTGACTTTAACCTCTTAGCGTTCGTTGCCATTCCTGCCAAGTGCGTAGGAATAGTGAGGGGGAGGGGCTTCGCCTAGGGTGGCAAATAGTTTTTACTCCCTCGAGGGGTGTCTTGCGGTCAGTCTCCTAAGTAGCCCTGCAGATGTGACGGACAGCGGAGAAGGAAGCCCCACTTCTTGACTTCCCTGCACCTGTTTGCTTTCTCCCTTTCCTCCAGCGTTTGTTTTGAGTCATCTCAGGACACCTCCCGGTACCATGCACCTCCCTTCTGCAACATGCTCACTCCCCAGCCTCCAGAGGTCCCAAAAGTCACCACCTTTTCTTTTTTGAGCCTTGTAGTCTTAAAAAGATGCTTTATTGATATATTTAGAAAAGTGTAATTATAAAGGAAGAGGGTTGCACTGTTCACAACCCCTGGCAACCCGGAGGGGCAACAGCAAGTCACATATCCATTTTTCTTACACATATACATATTCTCTGAAGAATCCAAGAAAAGCAAAATAAGGCCTCAGTGGTGATCGACATTGGAAGTGGAAGTAGGGTAAGAAGAGAAAATAGTGCTTGTTTCCAGAAATAGTCTTCTCACTTCTGGCCCCTTGCTCCAACAGCTCTCACCTCCTGGCACAGAGTCAATGGACAGTAATATGTGACACTGTCAGAGGAGGGTGGCGCCTAGGTGGAAATGTCCAATGTGTGTGCCTGTGTGTGGCTTAGGAAGGCAGAGGAAAAGTTTCTGAGAGAAGTGGAGAGATGGAGAGAAAGGTTTTTCTGTGGAAATGAGGCTAACAGATGGGTGTGGAAAGGGGTTGAGAAGGTGCTTCTGGGGAGTAGATGGTGCCATTTCACTTTCTCATGAGGCAACACGGACATGGACACGGTGCCACGCATTGCTGAGCACGCCTCGCAGGTTCCAGATTGGGGCCACGGTGTCTGGCTGCACATTGTAGCTGTCATCTACAGCCTTACAAACAATGTTCAATTCCTTTTTCCCAGGTGGTACAGGGGCTTGCAGCTGCCAGAGCCGCCAGGCCCAGGCCTTACGGGGGCGCTGTTCCTCTCTATCCAGCTCAGCCACCTGCCAGGTTAGGCCCCCATCCAGAGATACATCCACCCTGATCACAGCCCTTCCACCACCACTCCATGCATAGCCCTTGACAGTCACCTCCCCTGCCTCTACCATCTCCCCATCCTTGGGCTCTGTGATGGCTGACTGGACAGGAAGCTCCTGAATAGATGGAGAAGAGTCAAAATCTACAGAGTCCCAGTCCACGGAAGGAGAGAAGCCTTTGTAATCTCGCCGCTGCCAGTGGCTGTAACTTTCCTCTGGTCCCACACTCACTTTGCCCAGCCATTTGACATGGCGGGCACCCACCACACCAGGAACCACCACCCGCACAGGAAAGCCATGGTCACGAGGCAGAGGCTGCCCATTCATCTCATATGCCAGCAGGACCTCAGCTTCAGGGTCCATGGCCCGAGCCAGAGGGATGGATGCTCCATAGGCAGTCCCTGTGGGGTCTGAGTCCAGTCCCTCAAAGCAGACGTGGGCCTCAGTTTCATGGAGTTGGTGACCAGCCTTAGCTAATACATCACACAGTCGTGCCCCAGCCCAGCGTGCAGTGCTAATGGCGCCTGTTCTCCACTCCAGACCTCTTACTTCTTTTACCTGACTCATCTCAGAGCGCCGGTTGCCAGCACACTGCACAGTGACCGTGATCTCGTGCTTGGGGAACTTGTATAAGTCATCCAGGGATAGGGACAGTGGCCGTCTCCCAGGTGGTCCTACAATATGCAGGCGATAGGTGTCTGGGTCCAGGTTAGGTACAGGCAGATGGTTTCGAGTGAAGAAGATAGGGTTGGGTGTGATGTAGGTTTCTGTCAGCAGCTCAGGGGGGGGCTCTGCATTAAAGGGGCGCTGGCTATTGACCTTCAGAGCTGGGTGACGTATAGGATCATCAGCGTAAGGGTCAGAGGTCTTCAAGGTGGATGGCATCTTGTCTTCAGGGCTCAGCTCCCCGATCTTGTACTGAGCCAGTATCTCACGTATGTGGGACTGGTTGTGAACAGCATAGAGGGCCCAGAAGGGCTCTAGAGGACCCCCAGCTGCTAGCATCAGCTTTGATGGCCCCCCTGGGTGTAGGTCCACAAATTCTGTGACATCAAAGACCTCAGAGCCCAGAGTCACCCAGATCCTAGTTTCAGGGCTGCTGTGGGATTTTACTTCCTCTCTGGTGTATATGTGTGGTGACTCCTGAGCAGCCTGCAGGCAGAACAGGGGTGAGGCAAAAGGGAACAGAATATTAAGAAGCAATCACTGCAGCTCACCCTAAGCCAATCCACAAAGTCGTGGCCACTGGGAAATGGAAGTAGCAGATTTCATCTCTACTTGTGCATGAAGACGTGTCAACTGTGGGCTCTGTGGTAACACCCTGGCTTGCCTGGGAGCACACTAGGATCCCTGAGAGTGAAGTCTTTTCCTTTCCCACTTACCCTGCAACGACGGTCATGATAGGCCAACACTGCACCAAGGCCTAACAGGGTTCCCATGACTCTCCATCCCCTGGTGCTGGAGTTATCTGTAGAGAAGGCACGGCTGGGGCACTGAGGCTGAAATGAATCATTTGTAGAGCAGGCCTGAATGCAGAGCCTTGAGTGGGTAGACTTGAATCTGGAAGAGAAAGTGAGTCTTCTTAGTAACACACTTCTGATCAGCGAAGGCCTGGGGTTTACCTCTCCCTGGCTGGCCAGTGGCTTCTTTAGTTGGAACTTAGTTTCTCCAGGGATAGGTGAGACAAGTGGGATCTGGCTTACCCTTTCCTTCCTTGCCACCATCTTAATTATCTTATCTGGCAGATAAGAGAAGACATTATAAAGATACTGGGGGTAAAAGATATGGGTTAGGAGACCTTTTAGGATGGGCTGGCCTACCTGCAGGCGGGTCTGAGCCCCAGGGCTACAGCTCTATGCAGCAGCAGCAGCATTGTGGCAG